ATAATTGTTGCTTCGCTCATATTTTTAGTTTAGTTAGAGATTGTTGAGTATATTTTGATAATTTTAAACTTCTTTTACGTATAACTTCATATATCAAAGATGCGTTTTCATATTCTTCTATTCGTAAAAGAAGATGGTTAAAATTTCTTTCATCAAATATTGTTTCTTTAGAAATTAGTTTACAATTACCTCCTTTATTTGTAAAAACTCGTTGGAACAGTTGGTTTAATTTCGTTATTTGGATGAAGCCGTACTTTTCTTATTTAGTTCAATTTTTTATTACAGAAAATACTTTTAATGATCCTCCAAAATTAGTTAAAGAGTTAGCTAGAATTTTAACAAATCACGAAAATATTTCAATAATCGAAATGATTATTGAATTTATTACTTTAAATGCACAACCGTATGTATAAAATTTAATTTCTATATTATCGTTATATTAATTAGTAATTACTAATTTATTTATTTAGGTTAATTCAGGATTTAGAATTTTTTAAGATACACAATAAACCTGTAGCACCTTATGTTTTTTCACGAATTAATCAAACTCGTGCAATGCTACAAGCGGGTATTGAAAATCCTCCATTCAATACATTTATGCAAAACAAGATTCAAGAAAAAAACCTGAATTTAATATTCTTTAAGTCAATTTTTTCACAAGCTTTTAAGTTATCATTTGATAAGTTTATAAAGCATGTTGATAATCATTCAGCACTATTACTTTTTAAAGCTATTAGGTGCTTTGATCCTAAATATATCCGATATTCAACATCACGGCATAATCTTCAACTTTATATTATGATAGAGGAATTTAAACTTTTAAGCAATGATTTGTTAAACGAATGGAACATTTATTGTAGATTAGACGAAGAACTAGATGAAAATTTAAACCTGGATCGATATTGGAAAGAAAAATCTAATAATTTACCTTATCTTTCAAAGATCGCATTATTTTATATATGGTTACCTGTTTCTGGAGTAGATGTTGAGCGAAGTTTCAGCAATTATAAAAATATTTTAAGTGATAAACGACATAATCTTTCAGAAAATTCTTTAGCAATGCTAAATTTACTTTATT